GCCAATAAAGTGCTATTTCATCACAATTATAAATATCTACTAAATCATAATTTGATGTTTCATTTTGTAAAGATAGATGAAATTCAGGTAATTTTTCAATAGAGGCACTAGCAGCTTCTCCACAATGTATAGTACAAACAATATGATATCATTTTTTGAAACCTTGCAACCAACCATCAGATGCAGCAAAATTTTGAATTTTTAAAGTCGCTGCAACCTGTTTGGCCTTTTCTTGTAAAATTAATCCTGTAATTGTTAAATAGTTTTCTAGTGCAAGGTCAAACCATCATGCAAGAATTTCTTTTAATTGTAGATGGTCTGGTGGTCGATTTCGCTTTTGTTGTGCCATGGTACTTTCTTCATATAGACCAAGCCAATATAATGATTGTGCAAGAATATCAGCTACGGTTGTTCAACCGATTTCAAATTTATCTGCCAATTCTTGTTGAGTAATGTTTGGATTATCTTGTGCAAATTGATATAATATTTTTTTTGCTTGCCAGTTAATATTTTTCTAGGTTTTTTAGATGTTACATTATTTTTTTCTTTGGTTTTGCTTTTACGCTTAGTGGAAATAATTTCACTATCATTATCAGACATATTTCGTAAATTTTTGTGATGTATTAAAAAAATTTAATCTTTTATTTATAACATTGATTATTTACTTTTAAAAACTATTTTACTTTTTAAACTACTGCTATGAATATTATCTTTTTACACTTCAAGTTTCACATGCAACCACATTTTCACAGGTAAATTTTTTGTATAATGTATTAAAAAATATTTTCCACTAACCTTTATTTTCTAATGTATACATCTTTAAATGATTATCTAATTGAGAATCTATTTAATTATTTCTGGATCAATACATATAATAGCTAGTTTAAAACTAAACTATGCATGTATAGCTTAGGTTTTTTCTAATTATATTTGCATATTATTGTTAGATAAGGTAAGTCGAGAGTAGCTTTCATATGTTTCTTGAAATGATATATAAAAAAAAGGTCGTGGCTACAGTATCTTTTTTTGATACAGTAGCTTTTCTTTTACATGAGATATTGTATTGGCTTGGTTAGTGTTAC